ACGATGAAAAAAGGTTAAAAAAAGAGAAAAAAATGGAGAAGGTGAAAGAAAAAATAAAAAAAATAGTTTATAAATCAGCACCTGGGAGTCCAGTTTTGTGTAATGCAGCGGTTGCACTTGGTTCCTCACAGTGGTGTGGTTCAACGGTATTGAAGAATGCTGCAAGCGTCCATTGATCTGTGTCCCGATCTTTCTTGAGTTTGATGGGTGGGATTGATTGTGGTGGAGTTTGGCTATGGTCTATGACTGCTGGCTTTGCATGTGTCCAATGTATCCAAGAGTCTCGTTCTGCAACCTTTATGGTGGTGTGTGTAGTCAGTAAGACTTGGTAGGGTCCTTTCCACTTGGGTTGTAGAGGGGAGGTTCTGGTGAAGAACTTGATCCACACCCAATCTCCTGGCTCATATGGATGCAGGGCTTCTTCCAGGGGTAAAGTCTGTGTCAGCGCACTCTGGGTCCTGAGGGTCTGTAGTCTCTTTTGCAGGGCTGTAAGATAAGAAGAGAGAACCCTATCCTCCCTATCTAAGCAAAGGGAATGAGGATCTAGGCCTTGTAGGGTATGGGGTGTGTGTGACCAAAAAGGATCTCAAAGGGGGAAATACCTATATCTTGTCTTGGTCCGGTTCTGATATAAAAGAGGGCAATTGGGAGCACTTGTGGCCAGGAGAGGTGTGTCTCCTGACAGAGTTTGCCCAGTAGGGTCTTCATCTCTTTGTTTGCTCTCTCCATGGCTCCTTTAAGTAGTCCCACTTCTGATGCATCCCAGCCCTATAAGGAGGGTGGCAGGCTTTTTAAATCTTCATGAAGCTCTGTGTTGCTGGTTATCAGCATGATTGTCTTGTGTGTGCCTTTTCCTGGGATTTCCAATTGCAGCCCGTTTGCCACATGTTATGGTAGCTCCCATTTTACATAGGAGATCCCTTCCTAGTAGAGACAGTGGGGACTGGGGGCAAATAGTAAATGCATGGTCTACTGTGAAAGGTCCTAGTTCTACTAATACGTTGTGGGTAAATTTTACAGGGATTATTTCCCCCCACCACTCCCATTATGCTATCCCGAGCCCCTTCAACCACTGAAGCTTTATATGGTGGTTCAGTAATTAATGAGGAGGTGGCTCCAGTATCAACTAAGCAATTGTATTTCTTTCCTCCTATAAGAATGGTGACAATGGGTTCCCCTTCTGGGCCATTTTCTAGGGGGATAGCCAGCCCGTTAAAGGTAACCATGAATTCAGTGCTTTCATTGTCATGTTCTAGTCAGGAAAGGGGTAAATCATGTTCTCTTCTTTGCTCCCATTGATATCTATTATTATTTATTGGAGGAAAGGGAGCGCTGGGTGGTGCCTGGTGACTGAAACTTTGTTGCTCAGTGTAATGGACTGGATTATTGGCTGGCCTCATGTTCCTAGGTGGTGGGTGATATTGGTTGCGGGAGGGGTGTTGCCTACATTGCCTGCTGAAATGACCTTCCTGTCCGCACCTATAACAATGCTGACATTTGCCTTACGACCATCCTGCTTTATCGCAATGCCAGCATTTCTTTGAATTATAGGGGGTTTTACCTGGCGTTTGTCTGGCATCATGTTTCATTACAGCAAACATTTTTAAAGTCTTCCTGTCTTTCTATTCGTCTCTTTCTATCTTTCTCTTCCTCTTTCAGCTTGTCTCTTTGATCATAGACAAAGTTAGAGATCCTGCGCAACTCTGCTATGTCTAAGGTTGGCCAGTTAGAGACGAAGCGGTGGAAATGTTGTTTGATATCCATAGTAGACTGGTCCACGAAGGCTGAAGCTAAAATCCTTTGGTCCTTCAGGCAGCTAAGGTCTAGGTGGGCATATGCCCACCTAAGGTCTAGGTGGGCATATGCTGCTTCTGACAGGCGGACCCAAAAGGCATCAGGGTTTTCCTTTTCCCTTTGTGTTGTTTTTTGAAATTCGGACCAGTTTAAAGGGTTTTTTTCCCTATTTCCTCTAGTGCTTCTACTAAGTTATCTTTTACTCTAGTGTATTCGTCCCAATGATTGGTATCATTATAGTCCCAGTCAGGGCGATGTACTGGCCATGTGATGCAGGCTGGGGCTGCCTGTCCAGGGATAGTTGGTAGTTTGGCTATTTGGTCTGTTTTTTCAAACAGTTTTTAATAGTTCGTCTTTCGTTAGAAAGACTTGTAACAGCTGAGTCATGTCACCCCAGGATGGATTATGGCTGTCTATGATAGATTTCAGGGTTTTAATAACTGTTTGAGGATCAGCTCTGAAAGCTGGGGTATCCTTTTTCCAGATGACTAGGTCAGAGGCAGAGAAGGGAGTGTGGGTAAAAACATATTCTAGTTGTCCCCTATTTCTGCCTGGCACTGGCTTGCTTAAAAGGGGAGCCATAATCCGTGCCTCAGTATTCCCTTCCCTGAAATGGGTTTCAGGCTTTTCCTTATTATTTTTTCCCCCTCGGTTAGGTCTTTGGTCCTAGCCATTTCAGCCCAGCAGTACCAATAGGGTATTTGGCTGGGCTTAATGCGTGTTCTAAGTGCTTTCAGGGTTTTATAATCTAAAGTACCGCTATCAGGCCAAATTTGTCTACCCGTGTCATCTCGCAATAAAGCCCACTTTTTGCAAATCCTTTTCACTTCTTTTTTTATTCATTCCAGTTAGGACAGGCACTTGCCTTTTGTCCCAAGCCTCAAGTAATTTATCCAAGGGGGTCTCTTCCATTGCCCTCGAGCTACAACTTTCCATATTCCCTACCTGATGTGGGGATTACTTTGGTTTAGCCGGGCTACCACCATCAGTTTTCAGACAAAAAAGGTCTGGAAAGGACTCCGGTTTCCCTACACACGGAGTACGGGCCCCTTTCTCTTAGGGAAACTCCACCGTCAGTTTTAAGACCCCCCCCCTAAAAACAGGGATCTTGGAGGACCATCTGCCCCCTAGCAGCACCGGCACGGGCCCCTTCCAACACTCAGCCGTCAGTTTTCAGATCTCCCTTAAAGGTGGGGATCTGGAAGGACCTTTGCTGCTTTTTTTAGGCAAACTATTTCCAATTTTGTTTGCCAGCAGCCGGTACGGGCCCCTTCTAAATGCACACGGCTTTGCTTGAGGGATGCACCGGGACTATTTTTTCTGCTTTCTATTTATTTCCCAACACCAGTTCCTTTCTCAGCCCACTCGGTTTTTCTTACATCCTTCAGAAGGACTCACACTCTGTGATCACCCCTTGCGTTCCCAAATCCAGCCGGTCACGGCTCGTGTTTGAGCTAGCAGCTGGCTGGGGTGCGGCTGGCAATCACGGAGGAGGTGAGGTCTCGCTGTTTCCGCAGAGAAAACCCACAATCACACACCTGGTACACTCACGCTTCCACTCCCCTCACTAGTAAGATTATAAATTTGAAGCGGTACTCACCTGCTTTCAAGCAGCTGTTGAGCAGAAAAGCCCAAGGACTCCCTTTACTACCCTTATGCCTTCCGGGCTGGGTCCGTGGATGTTGTCCCTGGACAAAGAAGGTCCATGCCGGCTGGGTTTGGATCCGCGGGCCCGGTCCGGTGGCAGGGTTGGCTGGAAAACCTTCATGGTCGCCAATTGTTGTAAGGCTGTCAAAATGCCTTTCTTCTGAGGATTCGATTTTTCCGCTGGGAGAGCTCTGGTGCAAGGATTCAGACAACTGCTTGAAAGCTGGATCTTTTTATTTTTCAGGAAGGCGAGAGATAGCAAGAAGTCTGCGTTTCTGGGCTAGCTACCTTTGTATGGTAAGTCCCTGATTTTTATACCTTTTTCTCATTTTGTGTGTGTGTGCTTGTGTTTGTATTTCTTAATGTTTTAAATCCTGTCAGGGGTTGTCTTCATTTCCGCTGGAGGGTAAACTCCGTGGGGTGCAGAAGGCAAACTTTGTGGGGTGGTTTGATTGGATTATCGGTTTTGTCCTAATCCTTTTTTTTTTTGCTTAATGGTTTCTTATATTTGTTTTGTGGCAATCTCCTGTCTGTCTCCTTTGCAATATATTTTGTGTCTTTTGTCTGTTTGTTTTGCTGATTTGGCATGTCTTGTGTTTGTAAGGGTTTTCTTTTCTTGTTTCCTTAGTTTTCTTAATTATTTGGGCTTTTGTCTAAGGAGCTTCTTTAATACCTTTTATTTGATTTCTTTTCCTATGCAAGTTTGTTTTATGGCTGGCTTGATGTTCCCTTTGGGCTTTTCCTGCTTGGGTGACACCACTGTCCTTGTGAAGTTTCCTTTCCACACTCCTATAAGAATGGTGACAATGGGTTCCCCTTGAGGGCCGTTGTTTTTTTTTTTTTTTTAGGGGAATAGCCAGCCCATTAAAGGTAGCCATGAATTCAGTGTCTACACTACTGTCTTCTGAAGTTCCCTTTCCACAACAGGTACAGAATTTAATAGGACACTCCCAATTTTGACCATTTGTTGTCTGATTGACAGGAATGCTTCTATCCAGTTATGTAGGTGTCCAGAGATATCATAAGATTCTAGTTTTAGTAGTAGTTTGTCGTGTAATCTTACAATGGTTTCGTGACAGCTTGAAGTAAATCTGTGTATCTCGATCTAATATGCTCACTTCTGCTTGTTCAGAATCTAGACTTACCTAACTGCACTACTAGCCATAATTATCTACATTCTACAGGCATGTATTTGAACGTGCACGACGGCGCCTCCCCTCTCTCGAGTCATGTTTATGGAGTTTATTTATTAACTTAAGAAGCCCGGCTCCTCATACGTTTAAACTGGGCCTCGAGCCTTAGATATTCCTACGTGGTGGACAAGGAGGCCAAGGGGAGGATGGTGCTTTATTATGGTGCCCACCACTTACGCTCTATGCAGCCTTACGAGTACTCTATGGTAGAGCTGGGTTTCGTTGCTAATGGCAGGAGATTTGTTTACTTCCGGGCTCGGGGCAGCTTGTTGGGTCCATCTACCAGCCTGGCACCGCCTCCTCCCACCTCCTGTCCGTCATGGGGGAGTCCGAGCAGCAGGTACCCGGTGAGTACTCACTTCGGGAAGTTTAGCTGATTGGTGCCGGCAGCCCCTTTTCGCTTCTGGCGCCGTCTCAGGGCTTTGCCGAGCGAGGCGGTGCGGGTGCCCCGTTGCTTCTAATCTCTTTTCCGCTCTCGTTGTTCCTCTGCTTGCTGCTTGAGGCTCAACCCTATTGTAATGGGACCTCGTTTCCTCGGAAGGCGTCCTTGAAGGTTTTAGTCCGTGAGCCCGCCGCTGCAAAGTATGGAGGCGGGGTGTATTTCAGTCATGGCTTTTGCCTTCTTACAATATGGGAGTCTTCTGAGTATCTCCTTTTTCAGCTTGTGGAGTAAAAGCATAAAGTTTGGTCTGCATTCTGCCTCAAATAACCTTAATTTTCATAGGTTGCCGACTTTGCGGCATATATAACTGAACTGATGAAGGAGGCTTGAGGTTTCAGGTTTCTAGTTAGGATTCTTGTACGGCAATTTGATTTGCTTCTTTCTAAAAACCTGGGGAGAGCTAAAGTTCTAGCATAAGGCCTTTCATGACTGTTGAAATCTTTAACTCTGCTGACATTGAACTACAGAATACACACAGTATGTGCTTTGTAATATATGTGTTGAAAATAATGTAGAAAAACGTGAATATAATAGGATGTTCTGTTGCCTTTTTCTTCTTTTTTGAATAATTATTTTGGTGTACTCGGGAAATTTTGGGGAGTTGCTGTACTTCATAGTGTGAGCACAGCATCCTCTGGTTATGTTTCCTATTGCACCCTTATTAATTAATGAACCAGTAGATTTTTGTGCTGCCAATAGAAGCTGTATAAGATGGTAGAGAGAATGCATCTCTGTAAAAGACTAAGGAAAAGCAATCCACTAGGTTCAGTGCTGTTTGGCTTATTGCAACTTTAATGATCAGTTATATTGTATTTTCATCCTACTTGTATTCTGAATGTAAAGGAGAAACATATATCAACCAGCCAGTATTTTATGTGATACTATTTGTTAGTTATTGGGATGTAAGTAGTAGTTAATTATGGAATAAATGTCTGTATCTATATGGGCAAAATTAAGACTTTGAAAAAGAAAGGTATACATTGCCACTATTTTGACGTTAGGTGGCAAAATTAGTTGTTAGTAGAATTATATAAAATTAATTTCAGACTAATATTTATGTGTTTTCTTTTTAGAATCAGGTGCTATATTCACATTTGGGAAAAGCAAATTTGCAGAAAATGTGCCTAGCAAGTTTTGGTTTAAAAATGATAAGCCTTTATACATATCATGTGGAGATGAACATACATCGGTTGTTACAGGTTAGTGTAACAAGATTTTAGAACCATGTGTTTCAATGTTCTGATTTTTTAAGTGAAGATTGTATTGATAGTAATATTATATGAAAATTAACATTTTCAGAAATGGACACTTTTATTGTAAAATGAACTAGATAAAATAGGCTTTCCTAATCATCAAGCCCAGTTCTAAAGTTAACCTTGACTAGCCAAATTGTATTAGCCAAAAAAGCTAAAACAATCCTTGGTTGTATAAACAGAGGCACAGAATCAAGATCATGTGAAGTATTAGTGCTGCTTTATAAAGCCTTAGAAAGGCCACACTTAGAATACTGCATCCAGTTTTGGTCACCGTATTACAAAAAAAGATGTTAAGTCTTTGGAAAAGTGCAGAGAAGAGCAACTAAAGTGATTTAAAAGGTCTGGAGACTAAAACCTATGAAAAACAGCTGCAGGATTTGGGTTTGGCTAGTCTAGAGAAAAGAAGGACTAGCGGGGACATGATAGCAGGATTCCAGTATTTCAGAAGCAGTCAGAAAGAGGAGGGGTCAATTTATTTTCCAAAGCAGCAGAGGGCAGGACAAGAAACAGTGGATGGAAACTAATCAAGGATAGAAGCAACCTGGAATTAATGAGAAACTTCCTAATAATGAGGACAATTAACCAGTGGAACAGCTTGCCTTCAGAAGTTGTGGGTGCTTCATTACTGGAGGTTTTTAAGAAGAGACTGGACAGTCATTTGTAATTGTAAATAGGATCCAGAAAATACTCTTGTCCATATATCAGTTTATATGTCATAGGAATATAATTTAAAAGAATAACAAGAATTTTGTATTTACAACAAGAAAACAAGGTCCATTCTTATTTTTATTAAACATTTTGTTAAATAATTTTAAACTTAATAATCACTCGCATCAACTATTTTAGTATAAAATAGTATAATTTAAGCTAACTCAGTATAGTCCTCAATTTATAGCTATTCGTTTAGTGACTTGAAAGTTACAACCCCACTGAAAAAAGTGACATGACCATTTTTCAAAGAACCATTGCAGTATCCTATGGTCATGTGATCGGAATTTGGATGCTTGGCAACTTGCTCATATTTATGACAGTTGCAACATCCCTGGATTACATGATCATCTTTTGTGACCTTATGACAAGCAAAATCAATGTGGAAGCCAGATTCCTTTAACAAACTTGTTACTAACAATTGCAGTGATTCACTTAACTACTGTGGCAAGAATGGTCATAAAATGGGGCCAAACTCACTTAATAACTGTTGCTTAGGAACAGAAATTTTGGGTTCAATTGTCATAATTCAAGTACAATCTATTCTATATTATCACATGCTACCTGATAAATCTCTATATAAATAGGTTTATAAAACATAAACAATTGTAAAATGTTAATAATGCACAGTAAAGAATCTAGTAAGATTCTTTGAAGAATATAAGAATATTTTGCACTAAAGCCCAAAGGAGATCTAAAAGCACTTTCTTTCCTACAGTGGACTTCAACATAATTCCCAAGAGTAATACTTAGAAATCATATCATCTGCATTTCATTTTTGATACCATTTTGTTAAGAATTTTAATTATAATAGTAAAATCTAACACATTTAAACTTATAGAAAAGAAAAAGAATAAAAAGTGCAAGGAAAAAGAAGAAACTGAGAATATAATAGAGAAAAAGAACAGATAAAGAAGAGTCTTCCCATCTTTATCCAATCTTCATCAAAACAAGTACGAACACATTTAGTGACTGTTCACCCACTCTAAGACGTTACAATTTTCCATTGCATATCCTATCCTTTATTTTTAAACAACACCATAAAGCATTATCTTTTCAGTCCTGAAGCCAGCAGAAAGGATTGTCAGAAATAACAATATCTTTTGCTTTAACCTTGATCAAATAAGCCAATTAACTATTCCTTCCTTTTATTTCTAGCAGTCTTAATCTTTAGTTCATTAAAATACTATCATAGGATTTTATTTCTTTTCTTGGTTGTCCCATTCCATAGGGTTCTTCAAGACTTTAAGAAGCCTCTTTTGTAAACTTTTGTAAAAATTCTTTTGTAAAAATTCTCCAGGTCACTTTGTTGATTTATCATTTGTATTTCTCTTTTAAATTTTAAAACATCAACCAATTTCTCATGTAAATCCAGTGAAATCCTTTTCCAAATCATTCTCTTGACCTATCAAAATACTCCCTTTTGGATTGCAAGGAGCCCCTGCCCTATTTATGCAACTAATTAACGAGGTGCTACATGAACATTTGTACAAAGGGGTCTTAGTTTATCTTGTTGACATTTTAATTTACACCGAAACAAAAGAAGAGTACATAAAATTAGTCTGAGCAGTTCTCATGAAACTCCAAGCCGCCAAACTAAATTCAAAACTCTCTAAATGAGAGTTCCATCAAGACAAAATTGACTCCCTGGGATACAGAATATCCCATGAGGGAATAGAGATGAACCCACAAAAAGTAAATGCTGTTATCGATTGGGGGCCGCCCCAAACCTGTAAACAACTACAAAGTTTCTGGGTTTTGCAAACAGTTCATTCCAGCTTTTGTGAATATCACCCTCCCCATTACGAGCTTGTTAGAAATGAAAATGGGGGGGAACCAAAGCCAAGGCAACCCCTTAATTGACGGTTGAATGCCAAGTGGCATTTGAAAAACTTAAAAAACTATTCTGTCAAATCCTAAAACAGACCCAGAGCAACCATTTGTCATCCAAGCTGATGCCAGTGACTTAGCAGTAGGAGCAGCCCTACTCCAAAGGAATGAACATGGACAATTGCAACCATGTGCTTATACTTCCAAGAAATTTACAGAAATCGAGCAAAGATGGACCATATCAGTGGTGGGATTCAATTTTTTTTACTACTGGTTCTGTGGGCGTGGCTTGGTGCTCATATGACCGGGTGGTGTGGCTTGGTGGTCATGTGACTGGGTGTGCTTGGTGGTCATGTGACTGGGTGGGCATGGCCAACTCTGTCACTCACATCAAGGGGTGCCTCACCTGGCCCCTCCCCTCCCAGCCATTCCTTGTCACTCAGCCTCAACTTATCTATCGTTCTGTAAAAATGTTGTTCACCTTTTTTGACTTTATTATCTGCATACTATAGATGTACTTTCATGGACCACTGAAAGGAGGAAATGGCTCACATACTTTACCCAAGAGTGTGATAGGCAACAGGCTTTTAAGGGGCTGTCACAAAGAAAGGGGGACAATGTATTTTCCAAAGAAGCAGAATGCAAACAAGAAGCAATGGGTGGAAACTGAACAGAGAGAAGCAACCTAAAACTAAGGAGAAACTTCCTGACAGTTCAATTTAATTCCTGACAATTAACCAGTGGAACTGCTTGTCTCCAGAAGTTCTGGGTGCTCAATCACTAGAAGTTTTTAAAAAAAGACTGGACAGCCATTTCTCTGAAATGGTATAGGGTTCACCCCAAGGTCCTTTCTAAGTGTTATTCTGTTATTCTGACACCTTTCCCAGGATCTCAACTCAGAGTTTGGCATCCTCAGTTTTCTTGCCTGAAATGGGGGTTGGACTAGAAGACCTCAAAAGTCCCTTTCAATTCTTGTTAAACACATGTGTATTTTATGCTCTGGACTATTGACATTGAATGCATGTAAATCCTGAAAAATATGTGGTAGCCCTGGGCAAAAGAAAGGCAGAAAATTCACTCTAGGTGTAGGGACAGGGTAAAATATTAACACATGATAAATAATGGAACAATTAAAAATAATAGCACAGAGTTCTCTCTCTCTCTCTCTCTCTCTCTTCCTATTTTTTTCTTTTTCTCCCTCTTTCTCCCTCTTTCTCCCTCTTTCTTTCTTTTTCTTTCTCTTTCTCTTTCTCTTTCTCTTTCTCTTTCTCTTTCTCTTTCTCTTTCTCTCTCTCTCTTTCTTTCTCTCTCTCTCATATATACACACACACACACACACGGAGCACTTTTGTAGCTTAACAGACATGCATTTTGAAGCAGCTTCTTTAAATTTCTCCAAGACTGGAGTGGATTCCCCCACCCCCTCTGTCAGACTGCACTCCTTCTCACTCCAGGCACTTTAACTAATAAGGGGAAAGCGATACTTGCAGCATCCATGCCTTTCTTTCCCCCCAGGGAGAAAGAGGATGTGGGGAACAGAAAGGTAGGAGAGCGATCGGGGCAAGTGAGCGACCAGGAGACCAGGTTGGGAGTGTGGCCAGCCAGGGGTCACCACCGGTTCGGTGACCCACGCCAAATAACCGCTACCGGTTCACCCAAATAGTTGCAAACTGGTTGAATACCACCTCTGGGCCATATGGAAGAAAGAGGCATATGCAGTGTGATGGGCCCTCCCCACATGGGGGCAAAATCCCCTTCGAAGTCTGGACTGATCATAAAAATTTAGAAGCCCTGAAAACATGGAAACTCTCCCCCAAACACGTATGTTGGGCGCAATATTTTAAATGATATAATTTCACTCTCAAGTATCTCCCAGGAGGGTAAAACTTCTTGGCCAATGCCCTGTCCAGGAAACCCCAGTACAACAGCAAAAAGACTGAAATTATTAAACCCATACTCCAACCAATCCAATTAGCCGCCAAAGTAATCACCTGAGCACAAGGAAAAAAAGAACCACTTGCAGACAACACAATGGCTTCAAAATTTAAGGATGCACTACTTAAGGATGACTGGTTTCAAGCTCAGAAAAATATTTGCTTACTTAAAGATGGTCTAGCCTGGGTAGAGAACAAACTTTACATCACTGCCAGCCAGAAACTGGACCTCATGAAATGATGCCACGACTCCAAAATAGCTGGGAATTTTGGATTTGTAAAAACACTGCACCTCATCAAAAGACAATTCTGGTGGCCATCCTTTAAAAAAGACATTGAGAGCTAGGTTGCTAGCTGCCCCACCTGCGCAGCTGCAAAAAATGACAAGGAAAATCCCCAGGACTTCTACAGACTGTAGCAGAACCTTCAGCACCCTGAAGAGAGATTTCTATGGATTTTATAGTGGAGCTGCCTGAAAGTGCAGGAAACACAGTCATTTGGGTTGTAATGGACCTTTTTTCAAAACAGGTCCATTTTATACCCGGCCAGAAGATCCCAACAGCCAAGGCATAAGCAAAAATGTTTTTAGTACAAATTTATCGCCTCCATGGAGCTCCCCAATGGATTATCTCAGACGGGGTGTACAATTCACTTCCAAATTTTTGTGGTTTTTTTTTTTAAATCTATTAGGCTCCACCCAGGGGTTTCCTCTTCATATCACCTCCAGACAAATGGGGTGACATAGAGAACCAATGGGATATTAGAACAATTGGACTGACCTTTTGCTGAGGTAGTTTACAATAACTTGGTACACAGTAGCATTGGTTTCACCTCATTCCAGGTAGCCACAGGACACGAATTTAACCCCATGCCAGAGCTACCCACCAAGGAACCTGACATCCCCTCCCTTAAGGAGTGGATGAACAATCTACAAACCACTTAGCTAGTGGTCAGACTAGCCCTACAAGAGGCTAGAGCAGCTTTTAAAGCTCAAACTGACAACGTAGTGAACCCAACCGTTCAAGGTTGGGGACTGCATATATTTATCTACAAAGTTCCTACAATCATTACAACCTTCTAAGAAACTGGGACCAAAATTCATTGGCCCATTTCCCATCTCCAGAATCATCAACCCTGTCACTGTAGAACTCCTACTCCCTAAGACACTTAGACAGGTTCATCCAGTATTTCACTGCAGCCTACTCAAAGCAGAAATCACTTCAAAGATCAGACCACCTTTTCCCACATCTCCAACCACCTTTATGATGGAAGGGAAACAACATTTTGAAATTAAAGATATCCTTGACTCACCCACTCACCATGGCTCCACACAATACTTAGTAGCATGGAAACATCTACCCTCCTCCCAAAACAAATGGGTAGCCAAAAAACATGTAAAAAAACCCATTGTAAAAAACAATGTTTATGGAAATTCCACCTGAAATACACTCGCAAACCATCCTAATTCTTAATGTAATATATGCTTTATGTCTTCCAGGTGGATTTTCCATTTTTTTGAGGAGGGCAGTATGTCAGATCTGTGTATCTGCTATTCTTTGATGGAAGAAAGGGTGGTTTGGATTTGATACATTTAATTCTTTTCCTCTCTATGTATCCTAAATATCCTATTTCTTACATTGTCTTTTGTATAACCTTTAACACGATTTATAAACGTTGCCTGGCACCCCAGATGCTTGGAAAATTCTCACCTCTTGGGGAGATGCAAGGGAAGAAGAGGGGTGGATTGCAGCACCAGAAGATAGTTCTGGGAAACTTTCCTTATCTGCTTTCTCAGAGTTACTGGTATAATAATATCTTCTCACCTGTGGATTAGTGAAATCCACACCGGATTGTTGGGAGGGGTCTCTAATTCCCTTTATCCTAGTTGCATGCCCTGAGGGATCTCAGATCCTGCTTTGAATTTTGATTTGCTTTTACCTGCCTTCAGTAAAAACATTCCTTTTGAAATACAAAGTTTTCAAGAGTCTATACTTATTTTTTGAAGAGCGGAGAGGCCGGTCTTTACGCTCTATACATTTTTTAAAATATGAATGTACATATTTTCAGAATGATTTACTCATTTATTCTACGAACACTTATTTTTCTATGTATATTTGCAAATTAATATTTGTATTCTAAGACCAAAAATAATGAAATGTACACAGTGCATAGAAATAGAAAAAAGATGTTTATTTAAGCACAACCTTTGATAGTGATATATATAACATTTTGCAGACGTAGTCTTTATTACATGGTTATTATGTCTCTTTCTACAGTTGTGTCTAATAAATTGGAAAATATTGGGTATATCTTAACACAAATGCATTGGCAATCACTTATTTTCTTTAATATCTGTATTCTTCAGAAAATGGTAAACTATACATGTTTGGAAGCAACAACTGGGGACAACTAGGCCTTGGAACAAAGAATACTGTCAGGAAGCCAACTTGTGTGAAAGGTTTGTCTTTAACTTATGTGTCAGGTTTTAGAATAGATGTGATCTTTCTAGTTTTCCAACATAACAAATACTTTTAGATATCATATGACATTAAGACTTCAAGTCTCCCTATTTAGTATTGTTTTTAGGAATTCTGTGTAGTTATGGAGAAATAGGTTGTGCTGTATTCAGTAATTTGCAGGTAAATGTTTAGAGGATTGCAGTTTTACTAAATTATTTTTATGATTCGGACTTCAATAGAAAATCCAGCTTACTCATGATGTGCTATGAAATGCTGGGATAAATAATGATTGGAAAATTAATCTCCAATAAATTTGGACACTTAGCAGATTTCAACAACAATTCATTTTATAATTATTAAAACAAAAATAATAATAATAACCTTTTGTGTCCTTAATCCATAGTTCTAAAACCTGAAAAAGTGAAACTAGTTGCTTGTGGGAGAAATCATACTTTGATCTATACAGGTATGTAAATTATTTGTTTATATGCCAAAGAAGAAGTTTTCCTGTAGCAGCTTTCTGCTTCGGTGGACAGTAACTCAATAATAATAATATTAATAATATTAATAATATTAATAATATTAATATTAATAATAATATTAATAATAATAATAATAATAATAATAATAATAATAATAATAATAATA